ATTTCCACGGAGGCCAAACCCACCACCTGCCGGTGGGCGTCCCCTTTCAAACAGAGCTGGGGGAGGAAGCAGATGGCCCAGGGCGAGGCCCATCTGTCCGTGCCCGCTCGAAGGTCACCATGCCACTGGCGTGCCTGCGGGTGCCGCCAGCACCCACCACACCAGGGCTTGCGAGCCATCTACCAGCAGCGTGCCCCTACTTCCTGTGCCCTCAGTGGTCGAAAGTCCAGGGCCTAAGGGCCCAGAGAAAAAAGCGCTAGGCAGCGCAGTGGCCGGGGTTTTCCGGTCCCCGACTCCGGGTGCGCTGTCCCTGAGTCAGTCAGCGCCCGGCTGCCCCGCGGCTGCCTCCAGACCGAGGAGCCGCGGGTCCCTGGCGCGCTCACGACCCGGCCAAGGCGCGGATGGACCTGCCGGCGCCTCCCACGCGGTCGCGGCGCCGCAGCCCAGCGCCAGGCCCGGCCCGCGCCCGCTTGGCCGCCGCGGCGTAGGGGGTGTGCGTCGGGAGAGGGCGCCGCGGCGAGCGCCACCCTCCGGGCCTGCGGGCGCTGGGCCAGGGAAGGCTGCCATCCACTAACGCGAGGCTCCGATCCCCCGCCCCACTGCGGAGCAGGGCCTGGGCAGCGGCTAAGATGCCTCCCCGGTCACGGCCCCACCTCCCGGCAGCTGAAGCCCTCTGCCGCGCCCACCTTCCCCGGCCAGGCCTGGATAGATCTGGTCCTGGCCCCCCGAAGCGACACCACCTTCGCGCCCTGGAGCACAGTGAGCAGAAAACCCCCAACCCCAAAGTGTCCCCGAACGAGATATGGCGAAGCTGCCCGCCGGTTCTACAGCACAGATCGGCAAACCTCGTGGCCTGGACCTCAAGCGCGCAAGGACCCCCGACAGGGAGAGCATGGCCAGGACCGGCCCGTGGAGCCCTCGACCGGAGCCAGAGAGGCCACCGCGCCCCTGCTCCCGCAGCCCCCGGCTTCGCTCACCCTCAATGGAGATGACGTGCTCGCGGATCTGGTTCTGCAGCGCCAAATCCTCGATGCGCTCGATCAGGTCGTAGATGGCGTAGATATTGGGATGCACGGACTCGAAGCGCTGGATCTCGGCCCGGATGGCCGCGGAGTTGGAGAGCGCGAACTGCTGGGGGGGCCCGCCGGCCAGCTGCTGCGAGGGGACGCCGCCGCCCCCGGCCCCGGGCCCTGCGCCGCCGAACTGCCCGCCGCCCCCCGCGCTGCCGCCGCCGCCGCCGCCGCCGCCCCCCGGAGCCGCCAGGCTCTGCTGCTGCTGCGGGCTCTGCCCCCCGCCCGCCTGGAAGTTCATGGCTTCGGAGCCGTGGGGCCCGAGGCGGGCCCGGGGCGGCGCGGCGGAGGCGGCGGCTGCGAGCGGGCGCGCGGGGCTGGCGGGGCCGGGACTACTGGGCTGGTGGCGCGGGGCTAGCGCATGGAGCCGGGGGCCGGGGGCCGGAGGCCGAGGCCAGGAGGCGCCGCCGCGCACGCTGTGGCCGCCGCTGCCGAGCGCTTCCCGGCGCCGTGATCCCGCTGCCTCGGAGCAGCCTCCAGCGGCAACAACAACGGGACCGGGAGCGCGCGGCCCGGGCCCTCCCCCCGCGTCATGCGCACGCACCGCCGCCCCCGCCGGCTCCGGCACACGCAGCCCGAGCCCCCCTCCCCGCCGCCCCCGCCCCTCCTGCGCGCCGGCCCGGGCGCCCCCGCCCCTCGCTCGCTAGCTGACTCTTCAGCCTCCACCCCCGAGCCGCGCGCTCCAGCCCAGGCGCCCGGGCCCCTCCCACTCAGCTTCGGCCCTTCCGCCTCCTCACCAGCCCCCACCCGCATTGCCTCGAGGGCCACCCTCTCCGAGGGGACAGCTGCCCTGGTCTCCTCCCGCGCCCGGCTGTCGCTTTCGCCTCCCTGCGCTGATCTGGGCCGGGTGTCCGATCTCTAGGCAATGCCCAAACAGTGCCCTGCGCCTGAGGGTGCTGCTGACCGAGGCTGATTGGTCGAGGAGCCCGCCCAGGCCCAGCCGCTCCTCGCTTACAGCGTCCCGCCTTCAGTGCGGCATAGGCTCCCCTATCCCCAGGCTCCGAGGTCAGCCCTAGAGACCACCCTGCTGCTAGAGTTTTCTCCCTGGCTCCCTGCCCAGTCTCTCCACTGCCGGCGGCAGCTCAGAGGCTGGGATGGGTTCTGGGCTGCTATTTCCAGTTCTCCCTGAGCGCTTCATCATCGGCGCGCCCCTGGAAATGACACTTTGAACAAACTCGTCTCTACTCTTACCTTCTCGTGATCGGCCTCTCCTAAAAGACCGTCCCCCTGCTGGACTTGGGAGATTAGCTAAATGTTACCCGACCCCATTGGTACACAGAGGAAGAAGAGGGAGGGATGAAATATATGCCTTTCTCCCCTACTCATCCCATTGGAGAGACCAACCAAAGCCCACGTGGCTCTCAATTTTTCTTGTCCTCACCCCTTGTCCATCCTGTCCTTTCACTCCCTCTAGGGTCAGGTAGCTCCCTGCAATGTCCTCTGCAGTGCCATTGCCAAAGTGGGCTGCAGTTGTTAGCCACCCCCCCACCCACCCCAAAACACACACACACACACACACACGTTTTCTAAAACCTACAAGAGGTGACATTTGCAGAGCAGTGGCCCCAGCCAATAAATCTCCCAGAGATGTTGCAGGGTATCTGTTACCCCCAGATATCCTCGGGCATCACTGACACACATTGTCCTTCTTACACACACTTCCACTTCCCCGGCCAAGCTGGATCTTTTCCCAGCATGAAGCTGTCCACCATTTGATTACCCACACAACTCAGCCCCAGTACCAACCCAGTCACTATTCCTGAGTTCCTTGTACCTTCCAAAGCACCTGGTGCAAGCTAATCAACACATAGGGTCTCCTAAGCTCCTGAGGAATCTGTGTCTGTGTTTCTATCTCCCTGCATAACCTTAAGGATATCTTGTGCCCTCTCTGGGTTTCATCTGCAAAATATAGTGGTTGAACAGAAAACCTAGTTCTGATGTTGTATAATTCTAAAAGTAACATCCAACATCTCTTTTAGATGCTTAATTAGAATTGACAGCAGGAAGTAGCACCAGGTATACCTCCCAAGAGAGATACGAAGAGCAAAGAGCTCCTCAAATGTGTTGCCCCAGCAACTAGCACACACCTGTTATAGCTCTGATGGGCTGTTCACACGACTAGCTCCTCTACTAGTATATGGAGCCACATGAGGGCAGGAAGACGGTCTGATTCACCATTTTATTCCCAGTATCTTGCACAATGCCTGGCATATAGTGTGTGTGCATATATATATATATATATGCATATATATATTTCAAGACAGAGTCTCACTCTGTCGCCCAGGTTGGAGTGCAGTGGCTCGATCTCAGCTCACTGCAACCTCCACCTCCCACGTTCAAGTGATTCTCCTGCCTCAGCCTCCTGAGTAGCTGGAATTACAGGCACCCTCCACCACATCCAACTAATTTTTGTATTTTTTTTAGTAGAGATGGGCTTTTACCATGTTGGCCAGGCTGGTCTCGAACTCCTGACCTCAGTGATCCGCCTACCCCCATCTCCCAAAGTGCCAGGATTACAGACATAAGCCACCGCGCCTGGCCATAGTATATCTTTTAAAAATATGTTAGTAGAATAAATGAATGAACAGGAGGGATGGAACTAGATAGGTTAGTTCTGTATGGTATCAATCTAGACTGACATTCCTAAGGCAATATTTGGGCCACTTGCTCCCACAGTAGGCAAGAACTATGGGAAAACTAGGATAGATTATTTTAAATCAAGACTGGCCTGTAAAAACCAGGATGTGAGATCTCTGTGGCTACAGGAGCCCAGAGGGAAAAATCCACAGATATCCACAGGCCTGGGATTCAGTGTCATCCACACAGTAACACACCAAGGACCCGATTCCAGAGACCAGCTTTGAGTGGAGGTGAGCAAATAGCTACTGTGTGACATGTACCTTAGTTTTCACACTTTTTAATAAAACATCTAATTTCTTCCTTATGATTGACTTACGACGTATGTTTCAGAAAGGAAGAAATCAATCTTTAGAGAGATTCAATAACCCACCCAAGGTCATATAGCTGAGAAGCACAGGATAAGGGATCAGGATTTGTGCCAGGTTCCAAGGTCTATGCTTCTTCCACAGTCCTGAAAGAGCAAGGTGGAGGAGGGGACCAAGGAAAGGGGCAGCCCTGAGGATGGGTATCCCTGGCCAGCCTGGTGGGACAGCCCATGGATATTGGGCTCTGGGCTGAAGAATTAATTTTGGTGGCCAAAGTGCCTTCTGGCGTCCACTCTGACATAAGGGTAGGGGCCACCTGAGTTCCTCAGAGCCTTCCTCACTGCATCACGAACACGGGTGCTCTGACGTGCTTCAGCTGACGTCGGTGTCTGGTGTGACAGATGCTCTGGCTGTTGGCGGGGGAGGGGGCGGACCCTGCTGCCGCCCAAACTTCTAGCCGGTAGCGCAACCCCCCAGAGCCGTCCCCACCGGCCCCTCCGCGATCTGCTGGCGCAGAGAACCGCGGGTGGAGCCCAGCACGTGGGTCCGCAGGGCGGAGGGCGGAGACAGAGCGGCGCCGGACTACAAGTCCCACAATGCCCCGGGCCGCGGCGGCGAGGAAGGAGGGGTGCTTCAGGTGCCTGCGACCTCCGCGCCTCCCGCCCGGAAGTGCCCGAGGGGCCGCGATGGAGCTGGGGCAGCCGGGCGGTGAGTCCCCGCGCCGTGACCGCGCCCACCCCACCGCCCAGGGCCCCGGCCGGGCCCCGCCCGCCCTGCCCTGCCCGGGATCGCCGTGCCCTCCTGCGGCTCCGGGGGGCGGGAAGGTGGGAGGGGTGATGAGGGGTGGGGGTAGGGAACGTGAAGTCTCGGATTCCGGGCGGGATCTGGGGTCTGGCAGCCCGCGGGGCTTGGAGACACTTCCAGAGAAGGCGTGGAGTTGGGCCTCCGCGGAGTGGGGTTGAGGGTACCGAGCTGGGTGGGTGGTGACGCTCGGAGGCTCCAGATTGCCCAGGGGCGGAGTTTGACGTTTGCTGTGGGGGAAGCCTGGGAAGCAGTCCTGTGCCGCGGGTGGGGTTTAGGTGAACCGTAATGCGGGGGGCGGGGGGTGGCTCTACCCCCACCTCGGAGAAACTTTAGCAACGGAGTAGATGAGCATGGGGTGAAGTCGGTGAAGGAGTAGACACACTGGGGTGAAGTGGGCAGGAGAATAGATACGCTTGGGGGTGAAGTTTGGCTGGGGTGAAGTTTAGGGGAGGCGTTGCTTAGGCCCTTACCTTGGGATAGGGTTTGGGTGAGTTGGGAGCTGGTTGAAGACCTCGAGCTCAGATGACAGAAAGTTAGGACTTGGGATTCGGCGATGGGAAGGGGCACCCGGAGGCAAGTTTGGGGCGACTGGGAGGCAAAGCAGCCCGTACCCTGGGGTGGGTGAGGGAACCGAGGCTGAGGACGGTGGGAGCGTCGCGGTGGGGTGGGGGCAGGACCCTGTGGAGGTTCTAGGGCTCCTGGTCAGAGGGCCCGTGCCTCACGGCTCTTTGTGCCTCTCCAGCTCGGTAGCGCGGCGGGCAAGGCAGGCGCCATGACCCTGATTGAAGGGGTGGGTGATGAGGTGACCGTCCTTTTCTCGGTGCTTGCCTGCCTTCTGGTGCTGGCCCTCGCCTGGGTCTCAACGCACACCGCTGAGGGCGGGGACCCACTGCCCCAGCCGTCAGGGACCCCAACGCCATCCCAGCCCAGCGCAGCCATGGCAGCTACCGACACCATGAGAGCGGAGGTCCCAGGGGCAGAGACTCCCAGCCTGAGACACAGAGGTCAAGCTGCACAGCCAGAGCCCAGCACGGGGGTCACAGCAACACCACCAGCCCCGGACTCCCCGCAGGAGCCCCTCGTGCTACGGCTGAAATTCCTCAATGATTCAGAGCAGGTGGCCAGGGCCTGGCCCCAAGACACCATTGGCTCCTTGAAAAGGTAAGTAGGTCAAGAGGCAGGAGCAATGCTGAAGACAGGGGTGGGGGGAGTGGTCACAGAAGGCCCCCGGAGAGACCTAAGACCCAGCCCTCCTTTACACTGGAGGCGCTGAGCGCCCCAGATCACAACTGCACTTGTTCCCTTGGCAGACTGCCCCTCCCAGGCCAGGGCCGGTGTGTTGTGGAGGGCAGGGGGAGGGTGGGAGTGTTGTTCCGGGGCCAGGGACTAGGATTGCCTGAGGCCTGCTCTCTTACCCAGGTCCCTCTCTCCTCAGGACCCAGTTTCCTGGCCGGGAACAGCAGGTGCGACTCATCTACCAAGGGCAGCTGCTAGGCGACGACACCCAGACCCTGGGCAGCCTTCACCTCCCTCCCAACTGCGTTCTCCACTGCCACGTGTCCACGAGGGTCGGCCCCCCAAATCCCCCCTGCCCGCCGGGGTCCGAGCCCGGCCCCTCCGGGCTGGAAATCGGCAGCCTGCTGCTGCCCCTGCTGCTCCTGCTGCTGCTGCTGCTCTGGTACTGCCAGATCCAGTACCGGCCCTTCTTTCCCCTGACCGCCACTCTGGGCCTGGCCGGCTTCACCCTGCTCCTCAGTCTCCTGGCCTTCGCCATGTACCGCCCGTAGTGCCTCCGCGGGCGTTTGGCAGCGTCGCCGGCCCCTCTGGACCTTGCTCCCCGCGCCGCAGCGGGAGCTGCTGCCTGCCCAGGCCCGTCTCTCCCGCCTGCCTCTTCCCGCTGCCCTGGAGCCCAGCCCTGCGCCGCAGAAGACTCCAGGGGCTGGCAGAGGCCCCGCCCTGCGACCACCGGGGCTCGGGGCCACCTCCCGGGGCTGCTGGCCCTCAGTCCGCACTGGGAGTGGGCTCCTCGGGGTCGGGCATCTGCTGTCGCTGCCTCGGCCCCGGGCAGAGCCCGGCCGCCCCCGGGGCCCGTCTTAGCGTTCTGCCGGAGGACCCAGCCGCCTCCAATCCCTGACAGCTCCTTGGCCTGAGTTGGGGACGCCAGGACGGTGGGAGGCAGGTGAAGGGGAGGGGCATAGGAGTTCCCCGGAACCTGTGCAGATTAAAGTAACTGTGAAGTTTTCACTCTTGCAGTGTGTCTGAGTGTGTGCGGGATGGCGGGCGGGGACTCCTCGTCCCTTGGGAGAGAAGGGCACGGACTGCGCCCTCGGTTCTGGCCCACCGCTTTCCCTTCTCCCCTGTGTTCTGCTCTGGCTTTGGCGCCGGCCTCCGTGGCCCCGCCCTCGGTGCCGCGCGCGCACTTTCCGCGGGCGGAGCTCACGGCTCCCTGGCTCGCAGTGCCTGCCGGGAGCCACGTCTCCGCTGGTCGATAGCTGTTTCGGGATTGGTGTCCGGGCGGCTATCTGGGGGCTGCTGGGAAGATGGCGGACTCGGTGGCCAGCCGATGAGGAGGCCGCGGGGGGAACCCGGCCCCCGGGCCCCGAGACCGACTGAGGGAGCGACCTGCGCAGGGCCCGGGGAGTCATGTAGGGGTGGCGCCTGCGGGGAGGGCTGTGGGAGGGCAGCGGGAGCTGGTGTTAGCGGCAGCGGCCACGGTCTCCTGGCGTCCCTGGGTCGGGGTGGGTGTGGGGGCCCCCGACTTCGCCGACCCCACGCCATCGCAAAGCGGTGCACTCGGGCTCCACGCGCGCCCTGCGAGGTGGGCGCTGCGTTTTCATTTCACGGGTGAGGAGACTTAGACGAAGCCACTTGTCCAAGGTCACGCCGCTGGTGAGTGGGAGCGCCCAGCATGGAACCCAGCGCCGTCCAGCCGCGGAGCCCGCGTTCCACCCTCTGTGCCGCCGCCGCCTCCTGCGGGAGAGGGAGGTGGTCGGGAGAGTGCACGCCGGTGCCGCCTGGGCTCCAGACTGGGCGCGACCACTAACCCGGTTAATGACCTCGGGCTTAACTTAACCCCTTCGCTGCTCTGGGCCTGCGTTTCTCCACCGGTGAAATGAGGTAATGCCAGCCCTGCCTACTCTTCACGGGCGTGTAAGGAGCATCAGAGATGGTGCATGTGGAATTGCTTTGCAAGTAGTGCCCTGAGCGCACTGAGGATTATGATTGCTGTTTCAAAGGCGTGGAAGGAGGCAGAGGGGCGGGGTGGGGAAGAGGCCCAGAGCAGTCACAAAGGGTTGCTCTGACCACAGGCCCCCTAAATGAGGAGTGAGGTAAGGAGTAGGTAGCAGGTCTTTCTCCCCTTTGGAGAAAACCTCACCCCCTTTTTTGGGCTGCCCCTCAGGGTCTCCATCACCCAACTCCATGCTTCGAGTCCTGCTCTCTGCTCAGACCTCCCGTGCTCGGCTGTCTGGCCTGCTGCTGATCCCTCCAGTACAGCCCTGCTGTTTGGGGCCCAGCAAATGGGCGGACCGGCCTCTTGGAGGAGGCCCCAGTGCAGTTCCTGTGCAAGGACTGCAGCGGCTTCTGGAACAGGCAAAGAGCCCTGGGGAGCTGCTGCGCTGGCTGGGCCAGAACCCCACCAAAGTGCGTGCCCACCACTACTCGGTGGCGCTTCGTCGTCTGGGCCAGCTCTTGGGGTCTCGGCCACGGCCCCCTCCTGTGGAGCAGGCCACACTGCAGGACTTGAGTCAGCTCATCATCCGAAACTGCCCCTCCTTTGACATTCACACCATCCACGTGTGTCTGCACCTTGCAGTCTTACTTGGTGAGGAGGGGCTTAAGGTGGGCGCCTGGGGGGCTGGGTGTTAATGAAGAATAGGGAGAACAGTAGAGGACAACGGACAGAGACCCAGCCTCTCAGGCGTTTGCCCAGGAATGGTTGCTTCTGCTCCGGTCCTATGTCTGCAGCAGACATCATGAGACGAACGCACTCCTTCCATCCTCGCTAGGGTGCCACCTCAGATTCCTGCTAATAGAGTGCCCTAGGAAGCCACCATAATTTGTCACAATTGGTACAAGATGAAAGCCTATTTGCCATCTTTGTATGTACTTCCCACAGACCGTTTTGATACCTCATAGCCACATGATACTTTACATTTCTTTAGTGTTTGCACTTAAACTCTAGCACACCTTGCTCAGGAAACAGAGAGGAGAAAGGTGGGGAATTCAAGTAACCCCATGATTGGAACAGCAGCACAGCTCCGTTACCAGGCTGCCTTTTACCTCTCCCCCTCAGGCTTTCCGTCTGATGGTCCCCTGGTGTGTGCCCTGGAACAGGAGCGAAGGCTCCGCCTCCCTCCGAAGCCACCTCCCCCTTTGCAGCCCCTTCTCCGAGGGGGCCAAGGGTTGGAAGCTGCTCTAAGCTGTCCCCGTTTTCTGCGGTATCCACGGCAGCATCTGATCAGCAGCCTGGCAGGTGCTGGAGGGGGTTAAAGTCAGACGGGGTTGGGAGGGTTGACAGGAGGAGGAAGGTGGTCTCAGTTGGTTGGGCTGAGGTGGAATTGAGCCAGCTGGAGGTCCAGCCGAGGCCCAGCGTGACAGGCTGTTCTTCACAGAGGCAAGGCCAGAGGAACTGACTCCCCATGTGATGGTGCTCCTGGCCCAGCACCTGGCCCGGCACCGGTTACGGGAGCCCCAGCTTCTGGAAGCCATTGCCCACTTCCTGGTGGTTCAGGAAACCCAGCTCAGCAGCAAGGTGGGCTTGCCACCCACACTCCAGTGCATCTCTCAGTCATTCTCAGGGACCTCGTCAGGCCCAGCACCCTGTGCAGCTCAGCTATCCTTTTCCTGAAGCAGACACACCCTCTCTGTCCCCTGGGACCTGCATCTTTTCCTCCACCCTCTCTGTGACTGTCCACCTCCTGTCACCAGCATGCATTCCTGGAACTCTGCAGTTTCCCAAAGCACTCTTAGCACCATCCTAGCTCCACCCATCCCTCTCCTTGAAGTCTTCAGGGCCAAACCCCACAGTGATGTCCCCTCTGCCTGTCTGGTGATTAGTCACGTGCAGCTTGTGACTGCTTTGCTGTTGAACTGTGAGGCTGTAGGGACTGTCCTGTCTTTACAGCAGTGTTACAAACTTGAGGGCTAAGCCTCTCTAAGGCTTAGCTTGTAAAAAATGACTGCAGAAATACTTCACACTGGGTAATGAACTGCTCTTCCTTCACAGGTGGTACAGAAGTTGGTTCTGCCCTTTGGGCGGCTGAACTACCTGCCCCTAGAACAGCAGTTTATGCCCTGCCTTGAGAGGATCCTGGCTCGGGAAGCAGGGGTGGCACCCCTGGCTACAGTCAACATCTTGATGTCACTGTGCCAACTGCGGTGCCTGCCCTTCAGAGCCCTGCACTTTGTTTTTTCCCCTGGCTTCATCAACTACATCAGTGGTACGCAGCCAGGATAGCCGGCTGGGCCCCTGAGGGCTGGAGAGGCAGGGGAACAGGGTGGCCTGCAGCCCGGAGCCCCAGTCCCCGCCTCCCCACAGGCACCCCTCATGCTCTGATTGTGCGTCGCTACCTCTCCCTGCTGGACACGGCCGTGGAGCTGGAGCTCCCAGGATACCGGGGTCCCCGCCTTCCCCGAAGGCAGCAAGTGCCCATCTTTCCCCAGCCTCTCATCACCGACCGTGCCCGCTGCAAGTACAGGTGGATGGGGCAGCCTGGGGTAAGGGGAGGGGCCAGCCTGGGAGCAGCAGAGTGGAAAAGCCAGAGGGACCATGAAGCCAAAGCTAAGGAGCTCTCGGCCACCATAAAACTGGGCCCTGAAGCAGCAGAGGGCTTTACCCAGGGTGGTGGCACTAGACTGGGACAGACTAGGATGAGGTGCCGGGCCCTTCCTGCTACTGGTGTCCTTTCTCCTCAGTCACAAGGACATAGTAGCTGAGGGGTTGCGCCAGCTGCTGGGGGAGGAGAAATACCGCCAGGACCTGACTGTGCCTCCAGGCTACTGCACAGGTGAGCGAGGGGAAGGTGGCAGGCCCATGGAGACAGAGCTCTGGCTAAGGCCTCTGACCCTGCTCCCCCTCCAGACTTCCTGCTGTGCGTCGGCAGCTCTGGTGCTGTGCTTCCCGTGAGGACCCAGGACCCCTTCCTGCCATACCCACCAAGGTCCTGCCTACAGGGCCAGGCTGCCTCTAGCTCCACTACTCGAGACCCTGCTCAGAGGTAACGGAGGCAGGGTGGGGGAACTCTGGCCACCTTGCCCGCCATGCCCTGAGTCACGTCCCTCCCCCTGCAGGGTGGTGCTGGTGTTGCGGGAACGCTGGCATTTCTGCCGGGACGGCAGGGTGCTGCTGGGCTCGAGGGCCCTGAGGGAGCGGCACTTGGGCCTGATGGGCTACCAGCTCCTGCCGGTGAGTGGCCCTGGCCTTCCCCGTGGCGCATCCTTACAGCCGGCCTGCGGGTAACCTGCCGCCCTATCCTCTCCCCACAGCTACCCTTCGAGGAACTGGAGTCCCAGAGAGGCCTGCCCCAGCTCAAGAGCTACCTGAGGCAGAAGCTCCAGGCCCTGGGCCTGCGCTGGGGGCCTGAAGGGGGCTGAGGGGATGATGTGGGGTTCAGGATGGCCCCCCCATGGGGGGTGGATGATTTGCACTTTGGTTCCCTATGTTTTGATTTCTCATTAAAGTTCCTTTCCTTCCCCATTGTGAATCTCAGTTTTGGGATAGGGAGCAGAGCTGGGTCTCCTGCCTCTTTCCCATTCATGCCCCCCATACAAAGACAAAAGGCCAGAGATAGGTGGGGGCCAAAGCACTTTACTGCAGGGGCAGTGGGGGAGGAGGGGACATTAAATTATTCACTTAAATAAAAAGGAGGGAGGGGCATGGGAGGGGGGACCCCATCCCACCAGCCTGTCCCCTCGTCCATCGGTCCCTCGGCTGTACCTCGGCGGCGGCTACACAGGCATGGGCATCTCATTGTACTCGTCCACACCCTCCCGCTCATCAAACACCGGCTCTGCCTCGTTAGCATCCAGCTGTGGGGTGGGGGGTGGTCAAGAAGGGAAGTGGGGGGTGGGGGGCCTTTCCAGATCCACAGGGAGGCAAGAGGGACTGGGGGAGGCAGGCGGGACGGCTTACACATTTCATCTCTCGCTCGGTGAAGATGCGGGTGAGCACCACCATGCGGAGCGGCACTGTGAGGATGAGGATGAAGGGGAAGGCCAGGGAGGCAGCTGTGGACATGACGGCCCA